TAAGGATTTTTTTTGTCCTTTTAAAAATTTCCTTTAAAGCAGTCATATTTATCAAAATGTAGGTTGTGAAGTATTCCAGAGGCTTAGTACAGAGTATGCTGGGAGCTGTTGAGAATACAAATGGCTGGTTCCTGGGTCAGCTGGTGTTGAGAGTCGCAGGGTTGTTTGAGAATCTGGACAGCACATTAGGTATGCTACCAACAATGGGCCGTTCTTGTTGGGACCGCGTGTAATAGAACTTAAACCAGTACTCGTTTTTATCTTTCCAGTCAAAGGATATTATGTCATCATGTGCATAGGAATCTAGATGTATGTGTTCAGTACAGAGGAGTAGAATCTCTATAACCGAAAGGCGAAATAATTTTCTGGCACAGTATTTCTCAATCTTTTCTTCATTAGGAGACTGGATTTTTTTTTTTTTTTCCTAATTGTGCCTCCCCCAGTGAAATTTTAGTATACCATATACTGTGTTTCTGTTCATGTATATGTATCTGTGTTTTGTACGGAAAGTGATTATTTTTTTTACCTCCCCCCCAAGAACTAGTTTTCACCCCACTGGAATGATATCACCCCTGATAAGAGTGCATGCATTATTACAGTAAGAGGTGGTTGTGATCACAGGGAGTTCTTTGTAGGGTATTGCATGGCTTTACAAAGAGCAAACACGTTTTCTGTTTTCTGATACATGTTTTCTCTTTTCTGTGTTGTGATCCTTCTGGAAGGGATCAGGAAACACCATTACTCTCTGCTGCATACCTCAGTTATGAGCAGCCCTGATCCTTCACCTGAAAATCTCATCTAGTTGCTCTGTTCAGGCCCATGGTAACCCGAAAGGAATCATAAATAACTGTCACATCAGGGAGATTTTAGCCTGTATTCAAGCAAAGTCACTGATTGGGGTGGGGGACTTTATTTTTTAGAACACTTTCAGATTCACAGCAAAATTGAAAGTAAAGATTTCCCATACACCCGTGTCCTCACACATGCAGTCACCCTATTATCCACATCCCCCACCGGAGAGTTGTCACATTTGTGACACCTCATGAACCTACATGGACATGTCATCATCACCCAAAGTCCGTGGTTTACCTTAGAATTCACTCTTGGTGTTGTACATCCTATGGGTTTGGACAAATGTATGATGACATGTCTCCGTCATTATAGTATCATACGGAGTATTTTCACTGCCCTAAAAATCCTCTGTGTTCTCCCTGACCCCTGGCAAGCACTGTTCTTTTTACTGCCTCCATAGTTTTGCCTTTTCCAATGCTGCAGTCATATAGTGTGTAGACTTTTCAGATTGACTTCTTCCACTTAGTAATATGTACTGAAGTTTCCTCCACGTCTCTTCATGGCTTGGTGGCTCATGTCTTTTTAGCGCTGGGTAATATTCCATTGCCTGGATGGACCACAGTGTACTTACCTATTCACCCACTGAAGGGCATCTTGGTTGCTTCCAAGTTTTGGCAATCATGAATAAAGCTGCTGCTATAAATATGTGCATGCAGGTTTTCATGTGGACATACATTTTCAGCTCCTTTTGGTAAATACCAAGGAATGTGATGGCTGGGTTGTATGGTAAGAATATGTTTAGTTTTATAAGAAACCACCAAACTGTCTTCCAGAGTGGCTGCACCATTTTGCATTCCCACTAGTAGTGAATGAGAGTCTCTGTTGCTCTCCTGATGAGCATTTGGTGTTGTCAGGGTTCTGGGCTTTGGCCATTCTAATAGGTGTGTAGAGGACTGGCTTTTTTTTTTTTTTCAGTAATATTTCTATTGAGATATAATTTACTGACTATAAAATTCACCCTTATAAAGTCTATAACTGAGTGGTTTCACTATATTCACAGAGTTGTGCAACCATCACTACTATGTAATTTTAGAACATCTCCACCTTAAAAAGCAACTCTGGTCAAAATTTAAAACATCTGTGCTTCAAAGGACACCATGAAGAAAGTGAAAAGATAATCCAAGGGCAGGAGAAAACATTTGCAAATTATCTGTTAAGGGACTTATACTAAGAATATATAAAGAACTCTTACAACTCAAAGCTAAAAGACAAACAGCCCAATTAAAAATGAGCAAAGCATCCGAACAGACGTGTCCCCAGGGAAGACCTACAAATGAATGGCCAATGAGCTCATGAAAAGATGCTGATCGCCATTAGCCATTGAGGAAATGCACATCAGAACCACAGTAAGATACCACTTCGTACCCATTAGGCTAGCTCTTTCAAGACAGACAACAACAGTGTTGGGAAGGACATGGAGAAATTGGAACCATCCTACATTGCTGATGTGGATGCAGAAGAGTGCGCCGCTTTGGAAAAACCGTTTGATGGATTCTCAAGTTAAACAGAATTACTATACAATCCAGCAGTTCCATTCCTAGGAAGACCTAGAAATGAATACCTATGCCCATCATAAACATGTACACAGGGCTCCTTCTTTTTTTTTTTTTTTCACCGTATCATTATTTTTAATGTCCAGCATTTACAATACGAGGGCCAGAGCTTTCTCCCCAACTCAAGTTTATAAATTCTCAATTGGCTTGTGAGGCCAATAGGGATACTTCTTCTTATCTAATTTGGTTTCTGGAAAGACTTCATTCAGGTCCTCAATGGTCATCTGATCAAATGGAATTATGTTCTTCATCTTCTCCAGCTCTTTTTCATATTCCTCAATCCTGGCCTTTGAGAGAGACAAAAACTCGGCACAACTTTTCACATCTTCTTTTTCTTCAGCATCCACCTGAACAGTATATTTATCCTCTGGCACAGGAACCTTCAGGGCATTAAACTTCTTCTCAAAGTCATCTACCAAACCAGCCTTCGCCGCACTGGACTTGTAGTAAGCCCAGTCGATAGCAGGTGGTTTCTCAGGGAGAGTAGCCAACCTGGAGGTAAGGGTCTCATTGCAAGATTTCAGGGAGTTAGCAATGGCCTTCTGGTTTTGGGGTATGATCTCCCCAAAAGCTACCCAGTCAATGGACTTTAGAGCAAGTTTTCACGCAGCCATCTTGAGATCCTTCACCGACCCCGGCGGCCCAGAGGCCACAGCAGCAAGGAACGGAACTGGGTCCCACAGGGCTCCTTCTGCAGGTGATGGAAATGTTCTAAAATCAGATCGTGATGTTTGCACAACTCTGTGAATATACTAAAAATCATTGAATTGGATACTTTAAGTGGGTGAATTGTGTGATATCTGAATTGTATCTCAATTTAAAGCTATTTTTTAAAAGATGAAAACAAACAAAAATAACAATATTCCTCCCCCCAATGCCACCCATTAACCGTCCCTCCTCACTCCTGCCCTCTCCACGCAGCCCTGGTCACCGCTAGGCTGCTTCCGGCCTCAGTCAATTGACCTCCTCTTGACATTTCATGTGAATGGAATCCTACCACCTGTGACTTTCTTCCTTGGTTTATTTCACTGAGCGTGTCTTCAAGGTTCATACATGCTGTAGTATATGTCAGTACTTCATTCCTTTTTATGGCTGAATAGTCCATTGCATGGATACGCCCCATTTTGTTTATCCATTCATCAGTTGGTGGACACTGGGGTTGTTTTCACTTTTTGACTATAAATAATGTAGCTATGCCCATTCGGGTACAAGCTTCTACGTGGGCCTGTGTTTTCATTTCTTTTGGGCGCATACCTAGGGGTGGAATTGCAGGGTCACATGGTAACCTCACGTTTAACTTTTTGAGGTACTGCAGACTGGTTTTCCAAAGTCGATGTGCCATTTTACGTTCCCACCGGCAACTGATTTTTAAGTGAAGACTAGTCACATTCTCCTTAAAGTGAGTTTCCCAAGTCCCGGGACAGAGTGTACCCTTTCCTGTCCCCACACGAGGCCACAGAGTCCTTTAATTGACAGATGGAGGTCCCCCCCAAACACGCACACCCTAGTTCAGGGAGGCTCTTCTGGGAGTTTCACTGATGCAGCTTCCGGGAGAGCTTTTTCTCAATAATACATCACATTCCTCAGACCTCTATCCCCTTTGGAGGAATTCGTCTTAAAAATGCATGGGAAGCTTTGTTCTCAATACCAGAACTTAGCCGACACGTACCTTTGTGTATTCTCTTCCCGCCGAGTGAACGTGAACGTGCAGCTGGGCGTGCGCACGGGTCCACCCGCCTGGCCGGGCCTCGGCAGCCACGCAGCCCAGGGGGTGGAACCCGGGAGTCGTCCTCAGTGTGGTCGGCCTCGGCATGTCCTCTGTCCATGTGGACTTTTAGCCTCGGCCCACGTGGGGAAATAACTGTGTCCACATTTGGATGATTCTCCATTCAGATCATTCTCTCTCACTTGTTCCAGGACAGTCCCCATGTAACTTTCGGGGGCGACTGCTTTGGTCAACTTAGAGATTGGTGAAAATGTGACTGTTCACCCTTTCTGTGCTCTTAATAACAAGCAAGGGGGCACCTGGGGGGCTCAGTCGGTTGAGCATCTGCCTTCGGCTCAGGTCATGATCCCAGAGTTCTGGGATCGAGCCGGGAGTCAGGCTCCCTTCTCAGCAGGGAGTCTGCTTGTCCCTCTGCTTCTCCCCGTCCCCCCACTCGTGTGCTTTATTTTTTCTATAAATATTTCACTTTTTTAAAGATTCTTATTTATTTGTCAGATAGGGGGAGAGAGCACGTGCACAAGCAGGGGGAGTGGCAGGCAGAGGGAGAAGCAAACTCGCTGCAGAGCAGGGAGCCCGATGCGGGGCTTGATCCCAGGACCTTGAGATCCTGACCTGAGCTGAAGACAGACGCTTAACCGACTGAGCCACACAGGCGTCCCTCTCTCTCTCTCTCTCTCTTTAATAAATGAATAAAATCTTTTAAAAAAAAAATTAACAAGCAAGATACCTCTGTCCAGAATATTCCCACAGAGCGTGCTGATGTTCCCTAGCCCCCTGTCGCGCGCAGAGCCGCTGTGGGATGTGTTCGCCAGTCGCTCTTGGGTCCGGGGTCCGGGGCCTCCCGCCTGCGCCTGGCACGGCATGGGCGCATGCTGCCCCGTGGACGTTACCGGGCCGCGGCCCATGGCCGGTGTTGTGAGCGCGGCCGGGCCTCTGCGCACCACTCCCGTGCTCGCGGTCCGCGTTCTCTCTTGCAGGCCATCGGCTGCACCCTGGACTGTAGCTGCCAGAGTTTCAAACCCGGGAAGATAAACCACCGCCAATGTGAGCAGTGCAGACACGGATGGGTGGCCCACGGTAACCTTATTTTTCCTCCTCCTCCCTCGGCCTCTCGTGTCCCCTCTGAATGACTTAGAGTAAATCGCAAATGGAGCTCATGCCTGAGAAGGACAGCCAACACGTGGGTGTCCCCGCTCTTGCCAGCCGACAGGCGGAGAGCTTTCTGTATGTTCCCTTTTTGAAGCTTAAGGACGCTGCATGGTGGGTGGGGTCTTGTCTTAGCCCCGCTCTGCAGACAGAGAAGCAGGGGCTTCGGGGCGGTCCTCCTGCAGCAACAGAAATGTCCTGCGTTGTCTAATGCAGCAGCCTCCAGGATTGCCGGGTAAAATGATTATTTTAGCCTACGTATGTCCCGGTGAATAGTTTTAGGATAAACCTATCCCACTTACTCCCTGTTTATGTGAAATTCATGTTCACATTTCACCGGGCATCCTGTATTTTTTTTTTTTTTTGTAATGGTTAAATAAGATACACTTTAAATTCCAGCCTAGAGAAATATCTTTTTTTTTTTTTTTTAGGTTTGGTTAGTTCTTTTTTTTTTTTAATTTTATTTTGTTATGTTAATCACCATACATGACATCATTGCTTTTGGAGGTAGTGTTCCATGATTCATTATTTTCGTATAACACTCAGTGCTCCATTCAATACATGCCCTCTTTAATACCCATCACCAGGCTAACCCGTCCCCCTCCCCCCCTCCCCTCTAGAACCCTCAGTTTGTCCCCGTATTTTTATTTGCTGATCCCACACTTAGCCCCATGTGGCTGCTGAATACTTGAAATGTGACCAGTGGGACTCTGAAGAACTGAATTTCTGATTTTATTTAATTTAAGAAATAAAATAATTTAAGAAAGTAAAAATAATTCCATAAAATTAAAAATTTCCTAAATCTACATAGCTGTGTGCAACCGAGGACTGTCGCATGGGACGGCGTAGATTTTGGCGGCTTAACTGGCCAAGCCTGACAGCTAGGACGTGGCAGACGAGGGGACGGACCCAGATCCATCCGATCCCCAAGCCCCAGCTCTTCACCAGCAGACCCTGTTCTGCCCGATTTTTCAGCCTTTTGATTAATGTGCCTGCCACCTTTGTCTTTATCCTTTTCCTTGCACCTGCCCTACATGGGGCTGTTTTTCACCCCTTAGGGACAGGGACGGGAGAAAAGAAGTCTCAGGCCAGTTCATTTTATTTTAGAAATTCCTGTGAATAACGTAGAGCCTGGTAGCTGTTAGGATTGTGAACCATTTGCATATTCCTGTCGGAAAACATAGCGCTAGCCCACCCCCGTGCAGTGTTTCTCTGAGAAGTAAAAATCTTTATGAAGGGTGTTTCTTCGATTTGATTTTTCAGCTCTGAGCAAGCTGAGGATCCCCCCCGTGTATCCCACAAGCCAGGTAGAAATTGTCCAGTCCAATGTGGTGTTTGATATTAGCAGCCTCATGCTCTACGGGACCCAGGCCATCCCTGTTCGCCTGAAAATCCTATTGGACCGGCTCTTCAGTGTGCTGAAGCAAGATGAGGTGCTGCAGATCCTGCACGCGTTGGACTGGACCCTCCAGGATTACATCCGGGGATACGTGCTTCAGGTATGGGGAACATGGGCACGGTTCTCCTGGAATGTCTTCTCCAATCCATGTGCGTGTAACTGGTGTAACCCGGTTACTCCAGCCGTGGGCGGGCATCCTTTCGTAATGGCTTGAACCCCCACCTGATGTTCTGGGAAGAATCTGGTGCTTTCCTCGATACCAGTGAAACTTCCAGACACGGGAGCGTGGACATATTCTGTGATCTGGGTATCACTAAGCCGACTGTCCTACAGTGAAGCCTTGGCCCCGGGTTACTATCCGCAGGCCACCTACGGACACAAGACTGAGGGTTTGGGGGTGAGAGGAGCGTATGTTCCAGAAGCACATTGCAGAAGCTGGCCTTCCTTCCCAGGCTCCATCACCCTGTGATGCGTCTGTGTTCTGGCTCCTGCTTGTTCTCTCTCCCCTCGATTCCCCTTTGGCCTCTTCACGTGTTCTCTGCATCCCTCCCTTGTGCCTTTAGCCCCTTCTCCCTGTCTGTTCCCTTGCAGAGTAGTCTTACGTCCTTCTAGACCTTGTCATGGAGGTAGGCCCTCGTGTTTCATATCCACAGGCAAAGAACATAATTTCCTGGGACGAATTATATCATTTCTCCGACGTAGGGAGCAACGACAGCTTTTTTTTTTTTTTTTTACCCCTTGACACTCTACTAGAAAATGTCAAAATTTCAGTGAAATGGGGGGATGAATATACTTCCAAGACTAACGTGCACTTGAGTCTTACCCCAGGTAGGCCATGTCATCATCAACACAAGCACTTAGTCTTTTATCAGCCTGGACCCTCTTCCAGTAAAATTTCTCAGGGCAGGTGAATTATCCCCATTTTCCAGTTGAAAAAGCCAGAGGCTCAGAGTGCTTCTGAATCTTGGCCAACGGCATTCAGGTCGTAAGTGGCAGACCCAGGATTCGAACCTGTTTCTTTTTAACTCTGAAGCCCATGATCATCCTGTGGAGGCGCGTTTGCTCACCTCGGGTGCAGGACCCCCAGCAGGCTAGAAGCAACCTTTTATGTAGGGTAGCATTATGATCTTACATTATGACATAGATCAATATTTAATGATCCTAATAATCTTGCTTTCTAGTGTTAGGATTAAAAATATGGAATCAATTACCTTGAACCTCTAGTGCATCAAAAATTTATGACGTTACATCCCTCATCATCTTCAAAACTCTTCCATGCATTGTGAAAAATCTCAGTAGGCCATCAAATACATGTTCTGTGATAAAATATTTATTGTAGTTTTGGGAAAAGTTAGGCCTTGCTAGAGTTTGAAAGATCTCCAACACGCCAGTGTAATTACAGCTCTGCTTTGTGAACACGGGCAGTAGATCAATACGGGTTCATTTGTTTTCTGATGTTAGTTGCTGGGGAAGATTATTAACCTTGCAGCAAATAAATACTTGAGCTCTGTCTAGGTCTGACTGCTCCCTCCCTCCTTCTGAGATCTAGAAGTGACTATTGTTCAAACGATACAGATGTTCATTTTATAGTGGGGAAAGGTACGACACCGGATTGCAAGACAACCAATTGGTTTGAAGTAAGATGGAAAATAATCACTCAGTTTCCCTTCGGCCGGAGTCCTAGCATTTTACTGCTCTCTTTTAGAGCACTGTTTACATTTGTGCAGTTGGTTTTCCGTGTAGGGTTTCTGGCCCAGGAGAGTAGCGTGAGTGGGGGGCTGGCTAGCGGAGGCCCCGACCGTATGACCCCTTCTAGAGAAGAGGGTGCGGAGTAGGAAATTAATTGCGCTTCACGATTCTGGTTTAGGATGCGTCAGGAAAGGTGCTGGATCACTGGAGCATCATGACCAGTGAGGAAGAGGTGGCCACCCTGCAGCAGTTCCTTCGCTTTGGGGAGACCAAGTCCATCGTGGAGCTCATGGCGATCCAAGAGAAAGAGGAGCAGTCCATCATCCTCCCGCCGGCCGCGGCGAACGTGGACATCAGGGCGTTCATCGAGAGCTGCAACCACAGGAGCACCAGCCTCCCCGCCCCTGCGGACAAGGGGACCCCCAGCAGCCTGCACCCCTTTGAGAACCTCATAAACAACATGACTTTCATGCTGCCCTTCCAGTTCTTCAACCCCGTGCCCCCCACGCTGATAGGGTCGCTGCCCGAACAGTACGTGCTGGAGCCGGGGCAGGACCAGAGTCAGGAGCCCAAACAGGAGATGCACGGACCCTTCCCCGGCGGCGGCTTCTTAACCTCCAGTCCCGCGTCATTTCAGGCAGAAAAAGAGCCGTGTCTAAACTGCCCGGACACGGTTCCCAAAAAGGAAGACGGCGCCCCTTTGAGTGATTCCAGCCCCTACAACATTGTCACTAAACTTGAAAGGACACAGTTGTCCCCCGAGGCCAAAGCGAGGCCCGAGAGGCACAGCCTGGGCGCCAAGAAGGGCCGCGTGTTCTGCACGGCGTGTGAGAAGACCTTCTACGACAAAGGCACGCTCAAGATCCACTACAACGCTGTCCACCTGAAGATCAAGCACAAGTGCACCATCGAAGGGTGCAACATGGTCTTCAGCTCCCTGAGGAGCCGGAACCGCCACAGTGCCAACCCCAACCCCCGGCTGCACATGCCCATGAACAGAAACAACAGGGACAGAGACCTGAGGAACGGCCTGCACCTGGCCGCCTCGGGGGGCTACGAGCGCCCGGGCTTCCCGGCCCCAGACTGCAGGCCCCTGCCTGGCTACGCGGCGTCCGGGGACGACCCGGGGGGCCAGCCGGCCTTCCCGAGCGTGGGGCAAAACGGGGTGCTTTTCCCCAACCTGAAGACGGTCCAGCCGGTCCTTCCTTTCTACCGCAGTCCGGCCACCCCAGCCGAGTTGGCGAACACCCCCGGCGTGCTCCCTTCTCTCCCTCTCCTGTCCTCTTCCATCCCAGAGCAGCTGGTTTCAAACGAAGGCCCGTTCGATGCCCTTCCCAAGAAGAAATCCCGCAAGTCCAGTATGCCTATCAAAATAGAGAAGGAGGCCGCGGGGGTAGCCAGTGACAAGAGGCACGCTCTCAGCTCAGACGAAGACGCGCCCCTGCGGGTGGCCGGGGATGACGAGCCCGAGGCCTGCAGCCCCCGGTCGTCGGACAGAGCTCCTGGGGCGCGGCACGCACAGTCCGGGGGCCTGGGGGCGCCCCTCCCGGAGGGGGAGAGGGTCTGCCGTCTAGACTCAGGGACGGAGTCGAGCGGAGCCATGAGCAGGACCCCCGAGCGGGCCACACGGCCCTCAGAGAGGGCGGCTGAGCAGAAGCTGGCCCTGACCGCGGTGCCAAGGGAGCCGGAGGCTGGTGGCCGCGAGACTCGCCTCACAGCCGGGACAGAGCCCTGTGTCCCCTTCCCTGACTACATCCACCTGCAGCAGCGCCTGCTGGCTGGCGGGCTCTTCAGCGCTCTGTCCGGCGGAGGAATGGCTTTTCCTTGTTTCGAGGACGCCAGGGAGCAGGAACCCGTGGGTCAGCACGCGTTAGGGAGGCAGAAGGAAGACACTCGCTTCCAGTGTGACATCTGCAAGAAGACCTTCAAAAACGCTTGCGGTGTGAAAATGCACCACAAGAACATGCACGCTAAAGAAACGCACGTGTGCACGGTGGAGGGCTGCAGAGCCACCTTCCCCTCACGCAGGAGCAGAGACAGGTAAGACGCATCTTGGCCATCATTTCTTCCAGAGCCGTGATGCCGAAACTCCAGCATGCACCCGAATCTCCGGGAGGGTTGCTGAAAACACATCCTTCTGAGCCCTGCCCATAGAATTTCTGCTTCCGCGGGTATGGGATGAGGCCTGAGGGTTTGCGTTTCTGAGTTCCCAGGTGATACTCTCCTGCCATCCCAGGGACCACGGCTTGAGAAACACTGCTCTCTACATCCGCATGCTGGAATTTTCAGTTCCAGATCTAAACGCATTTGACCACAAAACCTGACCTGAAAGCACATGAGGCTATGGGTTGTCTTGTTTTTTGTTGTTGTTTTTTTTTTTTTAAAAAGTCTCCCTTTGTGTGGATTTTTTAAATTATACATTCAGTGCAGAAATACTCGTGGATTTATTACGGGGACATGAACAAAATAGTAGAGTTTATGCGTCACTCTGCCTTTCTAAAGTCTGAGAAACCCTGAATTCGGAAACGTGTCTGGCGCAGATGGTTTGGGATAAGGAATTATGAACTAGTCTCACATGAAGGGGGGGTTAAAGCATCACCAAAGACAACAAAACTTGTCTACTTTTCCATTTTATGATACGAAGCCCATCAAATGAAACGTTTTCTCTTACGTCCAGTTAACCAGCTACATTCGAAGGGAAGAACAACTGTGTGGTTGGAGAATGTTTCATTATTAAGATATCAGAGAAGAGAGGCACTCATTAGCAGCTTACTTCGGGGGTTGTGATGTTGGTTGAAAGCTTGAGAAGTCTTTGGGTGGGGGCTGTTCATGAGCCCCACACAGCGTCTCGCCGTTTGCCGAGTGCCCAGGCAGAGAGAGTCGGTCATCACTCTGGGACACAGCACCGGCCCAACTGTCTTGTGCTTTTCTTCATGAACTCAAGTCCCATCACCCCAGCCTGGGAAGGGGAGGACACGTATAACCCAGAGGTGACCCCCGGAGGCTTTAGGGGAAGGACTAGCTCTCCGAAGAAATGCAACGTGAAATATACCAAATGGTTTGCAGAATAGTAAAATGTTACATTTGCTCAAAGGAGCTTGACTTGAAGCACTTGGGCAAGAACATCCTCCCATTGAGCTAAGAGGATAGAGCATGGGTGTTATTAGTTAAAACTCCTGTTTCTGTTGCTGGCATGTTGAACCAGACCACCAGGGTCCCCAGATTAGCAAAGCTGTCCTTCTCCTTCGTCCTCCAAGAGGAGAGTTTGTTCATGAACGAGCTCTGTGTTGGAAGAAGAGACAGTCCCATCAATCAGATCATCCTTGATACTTACAATACCATTCTGGCCTACAGTGTGCACTAAATTAGAAGGCATATTGAATTTAACATTCGCCTTTGTTTTATATTTATTTTTTCATATATTTAATATTTTCTTATATTCTGAGCTATTTGTAGACACAGGTCTTCTCCCCCACCACAGGAAAGCATCTTGAATTCTAAATTTAGACTACTAATTCTGGTGGTCTAGAACTTGGAATTCATTTTACCTAGAACCTGATTAAAATGGCACCATTTTATTTTATTTTATATATTTTGAAGATTTTCTTTATTTATTTTGACAGAGCACACAAGCAGGGGGAGCTCAGGCAGAGGGAGAAGCAGAGTCCCCGCGGAGCAGGGAGCCCGATGCGGGGCTCGACTGCAGGACCCTGGGATCACGACCCAAGCCAAAGGCAGGCGCTTAACCCACTGAGCTGCGCAGGCGCCCCAAAATGGCACCATTTTAAAAAGAGCTTTGTGGGCAGGCCGGGGGCCACCACCCTTTCTCCGGGCCAGCGATGAGAACTGTGTTGTCAGGACAGGTGTCTTCCCCTCTTGAATCTGATGCCAACAGTAGTCAGTAGGACCCCGCAGGAAGGGACTGGGACAATGCTGCGGATGCTTATTTAGCCAAAAAATATTTAAAAACCTTCTGTTAGGTGCTGTGGACACAGTCTCTGCTCACAAAGGCCAGTGCGGGAGACAGAGCAGTAAATAGGCGTTGACGGTTGATTGCAGCAGCCGCTATAATGGGAGAGAGAGGCTGCTGTGGGCACGTAGTGGGGGCCCCTGACGAGACTCTTCTGAGAAGTTAGGGAGGGCTTCCTGGAGGAAGAGGCATGACTAAACCAGCAGCTCTCAGACGTTTTGGTCTCAGAACCCCTTTTACAAATTCTTAGAACTTCAGGGCCCTCAAGAACTTGTCTATTTGGGTTTATAAGTTATCGATGTTCATTGCATTAGAAACCAAAACAGAAGAAAATTAATATTTATTTCATCACTTAAAATAATAAACCTATTATATGTTAACATACATAACATGAAAAACAAGGGGAAAAAAAAAACCGTACATAACATGTCATGGAAAATAACCCCGTTTTCCAGCACAAAAACTCCGTGAGAAGAGTGGCTTTGTCTTACATTTTTGCCAATCTCTGTAACGTCTGGCTTAGCAGAAAACAGTTGGTTTCTCACATCGGCTTCGGCCTTCAGCCTGTTCCAATACCACATGTCACGTAGCCTCTGGAAAACCACGGTAGACTCATGAAGGAGCGACAGTGGAAAAGATCATGTCTGAGTATCACGATGATGAGATGAGTTTTGACTTCAGGGCACCCCTGAAAAAAGCTCAGGGACCACGAGGGGTGCCCAGACCCTACTTTGAGAACCACTGGCCTGACGAGGCCAAAACGGAGGAGGAGGAGGGGGTGGGGATGGGGATGCTCGGCATCAGCAGTCCTGATAGCAACAGGAAGCCTGGCACGTGGCCCAGAGGGTTTTGCATTTGTGGTCGTCACTGGTTTTAGGAGACGTGGCACCTCGGGAAATGCACCTAACCCTCCAGGGCTTAAGGAGAAGGTTGGAGGATCCCACAGGTTCGCTTCTGGTGTTCCTGGGGGACTCAGGCCCAGAGCTTTGCTTTGTTGTCTCAGGGACCTTCCTGTGCAAGGTTCCGGTAAACGTGTCTGACTTTTTTTTCTACTACTTATGTGCCGGGACCTGCGTGTCAATCCAGTGTCTGGTTTTCTGCCAACACGTACCTGCCCCTTCTACCCAGAACGCCGACATAATCACAGGGCGGAGCTGCCGTTGATAAGAGTTGTTTGCAGAGTGGGTGATCTGGGAGCACGGCTCTGATTAGGTCCAGAGAAAGAATGTGTAAGGGATAGAAGAGAGACGTGGAATAGCAGATTTGATACGTTTTATGAAATAAGACTGAATTCCCCCCCACCCCACCCCCACTGTGTCTTTGGAGGTTTCAAAGAGAAAACTCGATTCTTAGTTATTTTGGTGGGGGTGTTTTTCACCCGGTGGTCCTGGCAGGCATTCTGATCTGTACGGGTGGGGGGGGAGGTATTTTCTGTTTGGAATCACTTTCCTATCACCTTTAAGCTCATACCCTCGCAGTTGGGGCTATTTTTGCCAGTCCGAAGTCAGCAGGGGATCTCTGAGCACGGCCAACATTGATTGACAAGTTACATCCAAATGATATTGTGTGAGCAAGAATGTGTCGTAATGGATACTCATTATCTGCCCTTCAGGAATAATCAGTGGGTAGAAGATTGGTGGTGGGTTCAGTGCTGCATTTGCAAAACTCCTGTCTGGTTTATTGTGAAACGTTGCAAATATGAACTGAACTTAAATTCTCTCTCTCTCTCTCTCTCTCACACACACACACACACACACACACAAACAATGTCTAGCCAATCAGATTTTCTCCCCTGTAGCACTTCTGTGGTCATGTGAGTGTGAATGCTGTAGACCCTGATGCCACATAGAAAATTTTAAATTTTCTAGGAACCACATTAAAGAAGTATAAAAAGACACAGGTGAAATAAGTCTTAATAATGTATTTTGTTTTAGTCAGTCTATCCAGATATTATCATTTCTGTGTATGACGCAGCCGCGTTTCAGGTGCTCACTCGTCCTGTGGGAGTAGCTATCCTACTGGACAGTGCCGCTCTAGAAGGTATTTCTTGGTTTCATTGCAATAAAGTCCTCTGCTTAACTTATGGGGACAAGGGTTCTCTGGGATCCCCTGGTTCCAGGGTCCCAGGGGAATTGACCTAATTGGAGTAGGCTGGCCGTCCTCAGTAGATGAGGTGCAGGAAGTTACATGTCCGTCACATGGTAGAAATTAAGAACTACATATTCCCAGCTTCCAGACGGCCGGCTTTCCTGGCCAGTGCTAACTTCCGACAGGCAGTGAACAGCCCTGGGCCAGTGTCCACTGGACACACATTTCGTCCCATCCCCCCTATGGTCACTCCTTCCACGCCACAAGATTTTTCTGGTATCTACCTAGTGTCTCCACTCGGAATGATGACTGTTTTTACAACAACAGCCCAACCCACCGCTAACCATGTTTTCACTCTTGTAGACACAGTTCAAACCTAAACCTCCACCAAAAAGTGTTGACCCAGAAAGCACTCGAGAGCCCCGAAGACCATTTCCATGCAGCTTACCTTCTGAAGGACGTGGCGAAGGAGACCTTCCAGGACGTGGCTTTCACGCAGCAAGCCTCCCAGACATCTGTCATCTTCAAGGGAGCGAGTCGGATGGGCAGCCTGGTTTACCCGATAACCCAAGTCCACAGTGCCGGCCTGGAGAGCTACAACTCCGGTCCGCCAAGCGAGGGCACCGTCTTGGATCTGAGCACTACCTCGAGCATGAAGTCGGAGAGCAGCAACCATTCCTCTTGGGACTCAGACGGGGCCAGCGAGGAGGGCACTGTGCTCATGGAGGACAGCGATGGGAACTGTGACGGGCCGAACCTTGTCCCTGGGGAAGATGAGTACCCCATCTGTGTCCTGATGGAGAAGGCTGACCAGAGCCTCGCCAGCCTGCCTTCTGGGTTGCCCATCACGTGTCACCTCTGCCAAAAGACGTACAGTAATAAAGGGACCTTCAGGGCTCACTACAAAACCGTGCATCTCCGGCAGCCCCACAAATGCAAGATCCCAGGCTGCAACACCACGTTCTCATCTGTCCGCAGCCGGAACAGACACAGCCAGAATCCCAACCTGCATAAGAGCCTGGCCTCCTCTCCCGGTCATCTATAGTAACAAGAGGGTGGACCAAGTCCGTGAGGAGAAGCGTTTACCCTAATTCAGGAGTAATAAGGGCTCTCATTTTGTTTAATAACGTTTGAGGCAAGCCGGGCAAAAGGTCTTGGAGTTGACTTTCTCGTCTTGTGCGGCGGGATGAGCAAAAGACAAGCCTTGTAGGAAGTCAACTTTAGGGGGCAGCCCTTCCTATTTTTTTTCTTAGCCCCAGGGGTTTTTCCCTGACGTAACAAACACTGGCAGAAACACGGTTTTTTCCCACATTTGTTTACACATTCCCCGGGAGCGCGCCAGGTCTGCAAATTGACCAGGGGGCCCAGGACCTCGGGGCAGCTTGAAGTGAAGGGTCAGCTGAGTGTCCCGGGGAAGCAGACGGCCACCGCGGGTGAGGAGCCAGGCCCCAAGATCACATTTTTTCAGTTCCTGCTTTTAATGAGTCTGAAATCCAGACTCGGGGTTGGGAGTATGGCTTTTTGAGACTATGCCTCCGTTTGGAGAGGAGAGTTGCTTTTACTTTGTGTCTTCCCCTTCGGGGGTGTCATGGACCTTCAAGGAGCCCCCAGAGGAGGCAGGTGGGTTTCCAGCACGCAGGAACAAAGATGTTACGGGGATGTCTGTGCTCGCTGCGTGGCAAGCATTCAGGAAACTTAGTGGTCTTCAATTTAATTTAAAATGACTTTGGTAATATTTAATTTGTGTTTGTTACGTGAGTCATTGGGGTGAGTGCAGATGTGCCACAATGTGACCTCTGGGTCTCTGCTCGAGGGCAGAGCGAGGGCCGGCCTCAACTTGAGAGCGGCTGCCCGTTTCCATTCGGTGAACCTCGGAGTCTGGTCATTTCGGTCCCCTGTGGAAGGAGTGCAGGACCGTCTGTAAATACTCGGCCGAAGCGTTTAGAGAATGCGGTTCTGATCTTCAGTATCACTGGGTCCCTCAGCCCTCCTCCTTTTATAAATGCGTAAGGTTAGGAACATTCCAGTGTACACGGTAGAAGAAAAGTAGGGCAGGACTGCCATACCAAACATCTTAATATTTAACTTATTCTGAAATATATTCCACACCATGGTACACATTTGCTGTTGTAAAAAGGGAAGTTTCATCGGTCCTGTGAAAAGAGACCATCTCTTGAAATTTGGCATTTACGGTACTCGGGAGGGAGAAATTGACTTCTCGTTAAGACTTCAGGTGAACCGTCTTTTAAACTTACAGTGGATTTAAGTAATGAAAAACATCCTCAAAGGGAATTGGGGGTTGTAAGAGAGATGATTCCTCCGGCCCAAGGGTGAAAAAAGCCAACAACCTGTTATGGATTGTTTCAGCGTTTTGTTTTGTTTTGTTTTAATAAATGTGACGACACTTGGTCTTGGCTTAAAGTAAAGATGTATCTTTCCACTGTTTTGTTACCCAGCTGTTTATTATTCCAGTTTGCCCAAAGTGGAACGATTTGTATACAAATGAGTTTTCTATGATTTAATAAAAATGTATGCCACACGTTTTTGTTTAAAGAGGCAAACATTCGGAAGACCGGTTTTGTCAGATGCACGGCGTGGTGTGAGGACACCGCGGTCATTCACACGCACACAAATGCGCTCGCGTGAATTTACGGAGCTGGAAACCCAGGGTGGGCGGGTGGGCACAGAACAGCATCGGTAAGTATGGCCACGTGGAAACAGGGAGGGCAGGTTTTAATATGTTCCAGAGGTGGGGAGTGGCTACTTGATGGGGAGGAGGGGCTGGCCATCAATTTATTATTAAGAAAAATACAAAACAAAGTGATTGTTGAAAAAATACTGTGCTGTCAAAGATAAGTCTTCCAGGCGGTGCTGGAAGTCGAATGCAGTGAGCGATTTCTGCTGCTTTCATTCTTAAACGTGCAGGGTTTTGGGGTTTTTTTTTTTTTTTAAGATTTTATTGTATTTATTTGAGAGAGAGAGTGAGGGAGAGCACATGAGCATGGGGAGGGGTGGAGGGAGAGGGAGAAGCAGGCTCCCCGATGAGTGGGGACCCTGATGCGGAACTCGATCCCAGGACCCTGAGATCATGACCTGAGCCGAAGGCAGATTAAGTAACTGACTGAGCCACCCAGGTGCCCAGTTGCAGGGGGTTTTTTTTAAGCCAGTTTTTATAATTGATCTTTTAACTTCCTCACCTCTTTTACCTGCCCTTCCAATACACAGATAAAAGCATGATTCCCTTGAAGGAAAAATAAGAGGAAAACAGAGAGGGAGACACACCGTAAGAGACTCTTAACTCCAGGGAGCAAAGCGGGGGTCGCTGGAGGGGAGGGGGGGTCAGTGGGGGGATGGGCTCACTGGGGGATGGGCGTTAAGGAGGGTACGTGATGGGATGAGCACTGGGTGTTATATGTAACTGATGAATCCCTGAACTCTACCTCTGAAACTAATAATACAATATATGTTAATTAAATTGAATTTAAATAATTAAAAAAAAAAACCAAAAAGCATGATCCCCTCTACCCTCCAGCCCCCCTGTCAGGGGAGGCCCATGTCCCTGCTTCTTGGTGGGTTGAGAGGAAGAGGCGACCAGAGGGGGACGTTCTCACCCTCCAGCACGTGTGCCCGCCCGGTCTTCTAGGCCAGGCCACCTCCTGCCCGTATGGCCACTGTAGCCTCCTAACTGGTCTGTCGTGCCCATGCTCGCCTCCTAGAGCAGCCGGAGTGGTCCTTCTAAGATGTAACCAGGTCACGTGGTGCCCCAGCTCAGAGCCCCGCAGTGGCTGCCGTTAGCAGTTAGGATAAAATCCAGAGACTCTCAAGGTCAATGAGGTCGTACACCGCCCTCCTGCCCCTGCGACTTTTCCCTCCTCTTGCCCGCTCGCCTTTCATGACGACCTCTGTGGGCTTTCTCTTCCCTCGTGGCAGCTACAGGAGCTGACTCACTTCCTGCTCTCAGAATTGGCTGGGAACCCTTCAGGGTCTCCCCCACTGGGCACCACCCCCGTGTCGATTTGTCTGTCTTCACGCCTGTCCTCCCGGGGTCTCCTCTGGCCCGACTCTGCTGTCAGACCCCCCCCCCCGGGGTCTCCTTAGGCTGCACACTGCTCCCTGAGGCATCTGGGTCCCCTAGCTCAGCCTTTCTGATTCCACGGGCTTGTGCCTGTGGGTGGCTGCGTTCGTCTGAATCCCCCAAGAAGTGGATGCCAAAAGGACTCAACATGCAAGGATTTTATTAAGAAAGAAAATACTATTGGAAACAGGAAGGGAGCTGGGGAAGGCGCGGGGAGCTGGCAGACAGAGGGCAGGTCTGACCCCCGAGGGAAGGACAGAGGGAGGGAAGGTTGGGTGAAAGAATCCAAGGCTGCCATATAGTCTGCGGAGGGGTCAGCAAGGGCCCTGCGGAGGCTGTGACCGGGGTCAGCCGTCAGAGCAGCCCCCCATCTCCCTGGAGTGGGTTCCCTGGGAATTAACCCCTGCCACACTCAGTCTGGCTGTGAGCAGCCTGCAGGAGCACAGTACCTGGAGCCCTGGGCCAAATCCTACCTTACTGAAGTCCCCGCGTTCTGTTCAAGGTGCATTCAAACCTGTATTTTTCTCTGGACTCAAAAGTAGTGTTCCTGCTCTTTCTGAAGGCTGATGCCCTCACTCACCCCGCCGGCTGCCTCAAGGATGGCGTCCCACCCCCTCTCCCCTCTCCCATCCTCATCCACCCCATCCTTTCTACCACTTGCATCTCTAGCCTGTGACTCTTGCAAGTCCCTCTCATCTTAATGATTGAAAGAAAGAAAAAATAGCTCCCTGGGCCCCATGCCCCTTCTGGTGACTCTTCTTCCCTTCTCTGTGGATAGCTGAGGTCCTAGGATAGTAGATTTACCTCTCCCCAGATAGGCCTTATCCACAGGACACGCGTGGCCCTGTGGTGCACCCTGGTCCCTCCTCACGCTCATGCTCTCTGGGACGTCTCATTCATCCCCACGACTCCAACCATCTGTAGGCTGCACCTCCGGAGCTGCCCTCTTGACCAGCAGGTGCCCATTGGATATCACAGAATTATCCTCAACACCCCTGTCCAGCTCCACTGGGGCTGAACCCAATTTGTCATCCCCCCACCAATCAAACATTTTCCTCCTTTTGTTTCCTTGGATTGAGGTTCGAGGGAGCAGTGCCATTACCTGGCCGACCCACACCGAGGCTCAAAGGGCACGGTGCATGAAAAGCGCCCAGCACGGTGCCTGGCCCGTAAGCGCTCACCACACGCTGGCTGTAAGCACCTTCACCATCATCATCTTCATCATCATCACCACCACGACCCTGGACTTTTCCTTCATCCCACTCCCAGCAGCAACCACCAGTCACCAAACTCCAATGAGTCCGCCTGCCGGCAAACGCCCTCAGATCCTCCCCCTTTTTCATGCTAGCGGCCGGTGTCTGTCCAACAAGGAAGGTCCTCTACGTCCCCCTTCCCCGAGAGCGGTGTAGCAGCCTCCCGCTGTCCATGATCCCTCAGACCCACCCGCCCCACGGCAGCCCCGGGGGGCTCCATCACGGCACAGGGCGGACTGCCCCCCGCCCTCCAGGCGCTTCCCGCTGCCCCCGTGAGGGTGGGACCCCGCTAGGCTGGCCTCAGCCCAGCTGACCCCTGCGGTTGCCCCACAGGCCCGGGCTTGTGTGTCCCCAAGGCTCTGCATCTGTCGCTTTCTCTCCAGGAGCCACCTCTCCAGTCTCTGACCCCTAACCCTCCGTCCTCCTCTGAGACCCAGGTCACGGGCCCTCCCTTCCAGGAAGCCCCTGGTGACCTCCCTCTCCTTCTCTCTCAGCGAGGAGTGAAGCGAGTCCTTCTGGGCACCCATGTGCTATCGGGGCTTTGCTCACAGATGTGCTTTACCCCACCCCCAGCCCTCATTTAGCAGCTCTGCTGTCAGCATTCACCCCTCACCAAGGGGCCTCCAGCTGCCAGTCAACAGATTGATCCAGAACCCACCTACTACGCGCCAGGCGCTGCTGAACATACCGCGCTGAATGCAGTAGACACGGTGCGTGCCCCTATGGCATTTAGAGCAAGGAGGGCAGGTATTAAACCTAAATAAATAATAAATAAATAAAGG